TGCCTTCAGCTCAGATCATGATCTCAGGGTCCTGGGATCGAGCCCCGAATCAGGCTCCCTGCTCCTCCTCTCTCTGCCTGCCTCTCTGACTACTTGTGATCTGTCAAATAAATAAATAAAATGTTAAAAAAAAAAAAAAAAAGCTCTTTTGCAAGACAAACAGGTGAATTACACAATTTACTCATGCCCAAATAAAGGAAGGACTTCACGTATTTAAGGATAGTTACTTGGGTCTGTCATGTAATGAAAGAGGTCCCAGTATAACTATATACGAAGCACCAGGCTAAATCCTTAATAAGCACTTAACACTGAAAGTCACTCAATGGATAGAAATTCCATGTACCTTTTATAGATGAAAAAATAGGTTCAGGAAAGTTAAGATGGCTTGCCCATTTTATAGGGTTAAGGAAGAGAGACCCATTGTGAACCCAGCTCTAACTCAAAGGCCCTGGAGCACTTGAAACCATACTCTGAAAAGGCAATTTCTTTGATTTTTAAAGATTTTATTTATTTATTTGCCAGAGAGAGAGAGAGAATGAGCACAAGCAGGGGGGCCGGCAGAGGGAGAAGCAGGCTCCCCGCTGAGCAGGGAGCCTGATGTGGGACTTGATGCCAGGACTCTGGGATGACCTGAGCTGAAGGCAGACACTTAGCCCAGAGCCACCCACACGTCCCTGAAAAGGCAATTTCTTAACGCTGAAACTTCCCCTTATTACCAAACACTAGCACACCGGTCTCAGCACCTTCACCAATCTGCCTTTATGGAGCTGAGGAGTGCTGGAGCACCCAGGCGGAAGCTCACACGACTTTACTGCACTCTACCTACAAGTAAGAGTCAAGTCCTCATTGAGACCTGGGGAGAAAAAAAGATGTTCAGCAGGTCAAGTGTAACTGTATGGCATATGTAAACATCCTAACCAAGGGTAAGCCCCTGGGAAAGAAAGGGACTGCGGACAGACACTTGTAGCCACTCCCTCTTTCATTTAAGGTAACATACCAAGTCAGACATCAATAGTATTTATATATTCAAGATAAAGGACCCACATAGCCCTGGTTGGGCAAACTTTCATGCTCCTTGTCATTGATTCTACCATCCCAATAAAATAAGTGCTTAGAAATGTATTTTGCTTTTTGCTGGTAAGGAGTCTTACAGAAGAGGCCAGAGGGTGAATCACTCTCATCAGTATGAAGTATCCATTCTTTAGGACTCAGAATCTTCCAGGTCACTTGCTGTATCAGGACAAAGCAATCCAGTTGTTTTGATGCTTTGCATAGCCAGAGGTTTCTCCGACACCCTCTCCCTTTTTTTTTTTTTTCAACCCAACAAAAACACATTAAAAACACATTTCTCCATTAACAACAAAAAAAGCAGACTCTTATTAAGAAGATGATTTACCACTTTCCTTTGAGTTTCATTTTCTTCTCAGAAAGAATGCTTAAAACAGTACCTTGGCAGTCAACACTCGGTGTAACTCAACTTATTTTCCCTTCAATGCCTCTTTTTCCAATTTTGAGTCAAAATGTACTAACACCAGGCCTGCGACTGAGAAAGGATTATTTATGTTAAAGCTGTATGGGAAGGGAGTATATAAGTACATACAGTAAAGCTGGATGTAAGGGAACCTATGATTGGGAAAAAATTACTATGTAAAGCATGCCATGGTCTTCGGGTTGTTTCTCCCTGACCTCCATCTCCCAGAAAATTGCAGTACAGGAAGATATGCTCTGGACTACTACCCACTGGATTGTTATCCCAAACAACAGATTGCCATGACCCTTCTACCTACCATGGGTTATCAGATGTAAGAATTTTGGAATTAATACACTTCCAATTCTAGCAAAATCAATTTAGTTTCTTTGATCCCTGACATATACCAATAATAAACAAAGGCATGAAAGGCTTTTCAAAACTTTATTTCAACATAACTATGCTTACAGAAATACACTCATACTGGTTAATAGAATGCCATTTAAGCTTAACTTATCCTACACAATTTGGACCAAAGACTTGGTACATGGTTTAAGCTTTTTAAAAAAAAAAAAATTATTTGCAATCTGGTTTATTTTTCATCTATTACAAATGTATATAAAAGATCCTCCCATCAAATGCTGCTAAAGCAGGCAGCAAGAACCTTGAGATATTAACCTTTGGTTTGTCTCGGAAAAATAACACGTATTGCACTGTAAGTTTATAAAATTGGTGCAACAAAACATTGTAATGTTTCAATGCCAGTTTACAAAGATCAATTAACTAATGGATGTTGAAAAGGGTGGGGAGCCTATGTACACAAGTGAAAATGTAAAAGCTATCTGATTTAGTAAAAATTGCATGTAGATTGCAAGTCTACAGAAACCAAGATTCAGATAATTTATCGAATCTGAATTAACACTATCAGCTCAGTTCATCTGCTGAGGTCAACAAGGAAACTGCACAGACTAGCTGTTTCTTCTGGTTTATGCAAAAAAGAAAATGAAGTTTCTTCCCCAGCTTTTCAGTCCAGAACTGATATTATACTACAGGCAAGGTATTCCTTCCATTGTCAACATTCATGGGGTGACATGTGATGAGGTCTACTTGGGCTTAAATTTATTTGCATTAGCACTTAAATGCAAAACAGTCCCCAAAGTTAAAGACCACATGACTTTAGAAGTGACTCTAAAAAATAAAATGGCCCTTCTTGGAAGACTAGAACAAAACATCCAGCCAATTATAAGAAGCCTTATCAGAAATGTAGCCCCTTACAAATTACACCTCAATTTAAAAAAAAAAAAAAAAGTAGCCCCAAAGCAACTCTGAAAAGAGGAAAAAATATAACTTAATATATCTTGAAGATCAATGTGAATATAGGTTCAGAAGACAGAAGAGAGATTTTCATAAAACTACCTAGGATTAGGCTTATAATGTATTCTAGTATTTCAAGTTTATCTCTAGTTACTAAACATCAATTTACAAATAACATATTCACTTTTTATTCCTTTAACAAAAGGGAAAATTCTAGTTTCAATTCTATCCAGTGGAGGGGAAACTGAGAAAACAAAGATTCAAACAGTTCCATGCAAATATCACATTTTTCAAATGGAAGAACTCCCAACTAAACCAGAAGTTCTTATTACTAACATATTTTTCATTGAAACAATTTTAACAAGTACAAATACATGGCATTAAGGTTCAGAACCTAATATAGGCCTGACAATCAAGTCCTTGTTTTCTGGAAGAAAGGCCTCAAGTCCCACTCAATTTCCAGTAACAATGTTTTCACAGATCAATTTAATAACAAGGGGTTCTAATTTCCTTCATATTTTGTTTTTAGCACTCTAGTCTTAAAAACTAGGTAAGAAAATTAGTCCAATTCCCCAGAAGTCTAATTTTTTTTTCTTTTGTAGCATTGAACAATCCACAAAACCTCTTCCCCAAACTGATTCCCAATCTCCAATCTATACTTAACATGAGTCTTTTCATACAGAATGTGAAAGTAACTTACATAAAATGTACCCATGAACATTAAAACTAGTTGTTAGAAAGATTTAACTAGCTTTATAATTTAAGATTTAAAACATAAATATTTGCAGCTTGATCTTCTGTTGACAATGATTGTCGGAGCCGTGAATTCATCTAGAATTCAACATCATTTATAAATTCCCATTCATGCACACAAAACACACACCATTAACACACAACTTACTCATTTCTTGAGAGAATCTTCTCTTTAAATCTTTGGCCTCCCAGTCAATTCCAAGTTCAAATGTCTTTTAACTGAAACTTCACTCTCAGATTTTTAAGTTTTCTACCCACACTTCATCAATGCTTTCCCTAATCTTTCATGTTGCATTGCCAAACTCTGAAACCTGCCTCAAAGAGATCGCCAGATAAAAGAAAATGAATGATATATAAAGTGGTTATTTCAAAACAGAACATGGGAAGATCAGAATTGTTCAAGATTCCCTACTGGGATCATACTTTTGACTGAAATGAATTAACTGCTATCAGGAAGAAAAATCCTGTTGGATTCTTTCGTACTCTTTGGCAACTGGCCAAAGAACCTACCAAGAAAGTTAAGAACACTCTTTCTTAATACTAAGTGCCCCCACAGGAACACCAGGATAGCTGCAATTCATTTGAGGCCTCACCTGTAGAAAGCGGCTGTCACAGGGACAGCCAGGACACCCACTAGTTTGTGGAGATCCCTGAGAAAGTGTGATTTTTTAAAAATCTGGACTGTACTTAGGTTTCACCTGCCTTTTTCACTGTATTCATAGGAAGTAAGTAGCAGCTGGTCTACCAGCACTCATACTACCTCCCTCAACCTAGGTTTGCCGTATCATTGCTATGGCTTTGGAATCTCACAACTGATATTCAGTATACCTTGAAGGAGTAATTATGTCTCCTAATTCCAGGTCTGCAGTTTCCAAACATCACTTACAGTTCTTTATTCAGCTGAGGAGCCATATGGACACCAACCATCTATGTAAAAAGGTCTTCCTCAAATATATGACTTAACACTGTACATCTAGAAAGTAGTTGTACTAAAACAAGCCAAAAATTTTTACTTATGGTTGGTATCTGAGATTAAAATCCATTTAATAAAGAGCCTAGTGGTTTTGTTTATTGTAAAGGTCAATATGAGAGCTGTGAACTCACTACATCCATTTAAAATAAATAACTTATGTGAAATACAGATTCCGGCATAGATATAAGATGTGAAATTCAAAATCAATGGATTGAACCTGCATGTTTCATTTGCTCACAAATTTGCACACACTAATATTCTGCAAAAAAGACAACTGCAGCAAAGGAAAAAGAAAACTGCCCTTTTGCAAACAAGACTAAAAGCATCCCTCCAAAGAGGTCAAAATAAACATGCATATATATGTATAAAGTGTTACTGTTCAACAAATACTATTTCTAGAAAAAAATTGAACTGCATAGGTTAAAAAAAAAAACAAAACAAAACAATGTGCAACATCTTAAGCCATTAAAGCACCAAAAAAAAAAACCCACGAATAAAAAACCCAAAACCAACAACAAAAAAAACCACACCAAAATCAATTGTTTTTATGATGATTAACATATACAAATAAGAAATATTGATCAAAACTCAGGAAGTAAATACCTGGACTGATACAATGTCCACTGTTGGGAAAATTTTTCTTCAATTTAAATGTCTCTCCTCATCTCTAAAAAAATTTTAAAGTGCTAACTTTATATAAAGCAGGCAAATTCTTCAAGTAATTTGCTATTTAAGTATGCCAATTTTTATAGAACTAAACAGAGAACTAAGAAAAAAATCTAAAGTGAAACAAGAAGACAGACATGGCAAGAAAAGTGACAAGTTACAGCCAGACAAAGCAACAGAATGCTACAATACCACCTTGGCCTTCTCATTTCAATTAAATGTATAAACTAACAGATTTAGGTGTCTGCTGGTTTAGTACACTACCTTCCTTGGATTTGCTAAAATTTATCCATCAATAGGTATATAGAGTCCTAAGGAAAACAGTGCCACTTAAAAATCAACATCGGACACTAATTAAAGCAATTTAAAAAAAATAAAAGGTTGTCTACAACTACAAATGAATATTAAATGTAATAGATCTTATAAACTAAGAAGTGAAGCCTTATCCTAAATTACTCCTGCCCTTTAGCTGCTTTTTCAAGGAAGTAGACATTAACCAAATGGCGATTGAGGTGCTTGCTGTAATCTTTTTCCTTTCTAAAAGAACGATCACAGAAGATACAAACAAAATCTCCCTCAGCCACTTTGACTGCCAAGGCTTCCTTTGCATTTTTCCTGCTGGTTTCTTGTGGCACTGGCCGGGCCCCATTTAATCCAGAGTCATCGCTACCCTCTGACATGTTGTCACTTAGATCACTTCCATCGTGACTATGGATGCCTTCGTCTTCATCCATTTCCTGAGACTCATTTACTGCCATGGTGACAGAAGGTGATGTCACAGCAGTTTTGGACACTGCTTCGTGATTTTCTATTGGCAGGGGAAGCAGCACTGGTGAAACAGGTTCTTCAACTGCTGGCTCATTGCCAGGGGGGTCCTCTGTTTTGTTCTCATCGGTGTCTATTTCCATTTCACGAAGCTCAGTGTCATCCGGACACTTATCATCTAACATTTCACCCTCTGCCACAGTCAAGTTTTGCTGAGAGGATAAAATATTGGCAGATTCCTTGTTAATAGCAGCAAGACCACCTAGACTCTTCCCTGCCTCTTCTACCTTTTGAAGAGGGGCTTCTTTACTTCCTTCACCTTCAGTGAATGATTTTTGGTCTTTTGACTCCTCTTCTTTTAAGCTTTCCTTTGGCGGCGGTGGTGATGGTACAGAGAGATCCCGCGTACCTGCACTCTCCTTCGGAAGCTGGCTGTCTTTGACAGGCACTAAGCCAACTTCAATGAGGACTTGCTCCTTCCGTACCACTTCACTCTGCATGTTGAGCTTTTCCTTTTTATTATCTTTCCGAGGAGACTTTTTGGGACTTGGTTCCATGTGAAGAGGCGGCTCTGTGGGAGGAGGAGGCTCCCTCTGAACAACCTCCATCTGAGTGGGCCCCCCAGGGGGAGGTGGTGGCTCCATCTGAGCAGGTCCTACGTGAGCAGGCGCCATTGGAGGCAGCGGCTCCACATGACCAACCTCCATCTGAGCAGACTCCATGGCAGGGGGTGGCTCTAGTTGAGCATGCCCCCCAGGAGGAGAAGGCACCATCTGAAAAGACCCCTTGGAAGGAGAAGGCACCATCTGAGAAGACCCCTTGGAAGGAGGAGGCGTCATCTGAGAAGACCCCTTGGAAGAAGGCACCATCTGAGAAGACCCCTTGGAAGGAGAAAGCGCCATCTGAGAAGACCCCTTGGAAGGAGAAGGTGCCATCTGAGAAGACCTCTTGGAAGGGGAAGGGGCCATCTGAGCAGGCCCCCCGGGAGGAGAAGGCTCCATCTGAGCCGGCCCCCCGGGAGGAGAAGGCTCCATCTCAATGGGCCCCCCAGATGGAGAAGGCTCCATCTGAGATGGCCCCTTGGAAGAAGAAGGGGCCATCTGAGCAGGCCCCTCGGGAGGAGAAGGCACCATCTGAGCAGGCCCCTTCTGAGCAGCCTCCTTCTGAGCAGGCTTGCTGCTTTTTTTACCTGACTTGTTCTTCAGACTTTTCTTCTTTGTACTTTTTTTCATGCAAGTATTTTGTTTTTTAGTCTCCTCTACTTTGCTATCACATTTTGGCACTTCCTGACTACTTTTGGATTTGCCTTCTGCCTTCTTTTTCTTTTTTGTCACAGGTTCCTCATCATTAACAGTATCTTTTAAGGAATGGGCTTCAGCTTCCATCCTTCTTTTGCTTTTCTTGGTTTTACAGGTTGTTTCTGAATTATTTCCTGTATGCACATCCATTTCTTTAGTTTCCATCGCTGATTTGCGTGTTCTGGTAATCACTTGAGTTGAAGCATTACTAAAAGACTTTTTCTCTTTCGAAACATTATCTTTTTTCTCCATTTTTACAGGCTTCTCATTCTTCTTTCCAGCCACATCCCCCTTTATTTTTGTCTGTTCTGTTTCTTTCTTTTCATTGGTAATATTGTTATCAGGCAGGTCAGCCTCTCGTTTTTTGGTTTTCTTTAGTTTCACTTTTGAGACATCCATGGTTTTATTAGGACAAGTAGGATGTTTGGATTTGAAGTGATACTGAAGATTACACTTCTTGGAAGCCGCATAGTCGCACGCAGGGCAATTGAACTGCCGTGGATTAACGTGTAGCTCTACGTGTTTTTTGAAGTTACTTCTATCTGCTGTTTTGTAGTCACAATGTGGACAGTTAAGAGGTTTAGGCCCATTATGAACCTGTCTTGCATGGCGGGTTACTTCATGCTGATTAGAGGCCACATAACTGCACTGATCGCATTTAAATGGCTTCTCACCTAAGGTAAACAAGAGATGTTAGAGAGAACATAGATTAAGACATGAATTCAAGCCATTTATTAAAATATAAGGAACTGGATATGTTAAAACACACACACACAAACTATTCATTGAAAAGACTCGATCATGCACTTTACTTTTACCATATTTATTTGTAGATCTTTTCTCTATCCCTTGACAATGACTCTCATACCAAATGGAAGAACAACGATTTCATTTAACCATCATCTTCTAAAACGGTCATCAAGCTAGAGCTCTTAAACACTATAAAGAACAACGATTCATCAAGAAGTACACAACAATTATTGGCAAAATTGGTTGGGCTATGGATGTGAATTTTGGGGCAAGGGCACTCAAAGAGAAAAAATAATTTTTTTTTTAAACATCATTTTAATTGTTTTATGTTTCATTAAAACAAATGTACAAATGGAGTAGAATATATAATTCCCACACTTTTAATTTGCAAGTTATTTATTATTATTATTATTTTTATAAACATATAATGTATTATTAGCCCCAGGGGTACAGGTCTGTGAATCACCAGGTTTACACACTTCACAGCACTCACCATAGCACATACCCTCCCCATAATTCCCATACATTTTTAAGATAAATGTTGAGACTTCTAAAGAAGTATCTTACACTTCAAGCTACCCTCTCAGACCTTAGATGTAGAAGTTGTAAAAGTTTTGGGCTTAGGGAACAAGAGGTCTTTTCTTTAAATTTAACCCTTTTGCCTATCTCAGCAGGAGGAGAGTCAAACTTCACTCAGCAAAGTCATCCAATGCCAGAATTGCTATTTTAAAGCAAAAATATAGCCACGCCAGAAACCTTCTGATTTTTCTCTACCTTCTTTTAACAAATGGATAAAGAAAAAACATAGGTGAGAAAGAGCATACAAATAGATATGGTATGTAAAATAATCGAACAAAGTCATGATCATTAGAGATCATAGGTACATACAATACCAAAACCACCCCCACCCCCAAATTAAAGATTTAAGATTAACACATTCTACCTGAATACATACCCATCTAGATCACACTCTAGTAAATATTACCAAATGGTATCCATACCCCACTGGTCCAATGGAATGCATAGTAGAAAAATGGAAATTGACATTTATGAAAATTCATCTCTCAAACATTCTCAAATTCATATCAAATCTAATTTTTTCATAAAGCAAATTTCTCAGACATTAAGCTTTACATGATGAGAAAATGTCTGATGATAAAATCAAAACTTACCCAGGTACATCAGATTGGTTAGATTGGTTATGTAGCTAGCTGGACAACTCTTTTTTCCATGTTAGACTACTAACAGAGTCACAAATAGAGGTTTCTACAACATGCTTCATTACTCTGTCTTGTCCCCTCCAATGAATTACCTCAGTGGACACAAACATTTGCTTAACATATATAGACACAGAATGAGGAAAAAAAATAGTGGCATAACGGTTAAGAACTTTTTTTTTAGAATGAGACTATCTGGGAGATCAAATATGGGCTCTTCTCCAACTCACTTTTGAGATCCTGAGCAAGGTACTGAAAACTCTCTAAGGCCCAAGTTCTGCATCTGTAAAAATACTTTTAAGTGTTATGACCTATAAATAATTGAATCCATATAAAGCACTTAGCATGGCACAGACTTAGCTTGGCACAGCTAAGCAGTCCATATACACTCCCTATAAATCATCACTTTTGAAACTGGTACTTTTAGTATGGGTAAACAAAAGGCAAGATTCATGTGTTTATCCTGCCTTTCCATTTTAAACCCTACCTCTGAGTAAACAAGTAGCTGATGAATGAAGTTTATCTCTTTAAGAAAATATTTGTGCTAATAAGAGAATTGTAATGGAAATATTGCCACTGTATAACCCCTAACAAATGAGGGTATTTACACAGCAAGCATCAAAGTGGAAGCCTCCACCTATGAAATGGTCAGAGAATGGGAGTTCATAAAAACCTATTTAAATTTTGATGGCAAAAATTTACTTGCTCCATTCATTCCTTCTCAATTTTATTTTCTTGCCTTTAAGTCGTGCTTGTATTAGATCTAGTCATAAAACTGCATTGGTTTTTAGCACCTAATATATTTTTTTTGCCTTTTATCAATGATTTTAATTCTTTTCCAATTCTAGTATTTATCTCCATTTTTCATCTTTATAAACATGTCAGATGTCCACTTCATTCTTCCCAAATCAAGTTAATATATAGAAAATTCAAAAGAGGAAAGATTTTTATATACTTTACCTATTCTTATCAAGAATCCAGAAAGAATAACAAAAGGGACTTATTGAAGAGTAATAGGGCATACAATTGATTATTACTTAGAAAAAAAACACAAAGTTCTGATAAAGCAGCATGGGATGACTGTCAAAAACATCTCTTGGAAGAATGTCATAATATTCTTTTTGACAGAAGTCAAACTATCAGTTGGGGGTAGACCATGGGAATACTGACCAGAAAGGGTGAGGAGGGAACATTTCTGAGGGTGTATAAATGTTTCAGGTCTTCCTCTAGGGGGCAGTCAAACAGGAGAAACCATGTGAAGTCACTGACCTGTCTGCTTCAGACACATGTCTGCATTTTCATGTGTGTAAACTGAACCTCAATAGAATAATGTTTAAAAATTTACTCTCTACACCTGAAACTAATGTAACATTGTGTATCAACTATACCTCAATAAAAAATACGTTTACTGACTGAAAAAAAGCCCAAGCCGCAAAGTAAGTTGAATTTGACATGACACACTAAAATGAAAAAAACCACGAAGACACTGGGAAAAAAACATTCTAGAATTCATTATACCCTCAAACCATAATGTCTTTCAAATAAGCCCAGCCTATTAAAATAGTGCCTCCACAATAATTATCAAATACTTGGTGAAAGAAAAATAAACTTATGGTTGAAAAAAGTATTTTCCATGTTAAGAAGAGTAATAAATGGAGGTAGAAGTTGGCAAGTTGTTGATCTTCTTTAACAACAGCATCCATTACACTCACTGTGGGAAAATATTCAAAATCAATTCCTATGCTAGCAGAATGTGGAACTAGTCAGTGTGATATATAAAAAAATTATTATTAACAGCAAATACAAACTGGATGTATTTCATCTGGAATAAGATATTTCATCCAGGATGAAATGACAGCATCTCCACTGAGAGTAAGAAAGGGAGAACTGTGGATAATGTCCGTGTATCTCAGACTAGCCGGGGGGTGAAGGGTATTTTAATACCATTAGGGAGAAACACCAGTAAAATGGGGAACAACCCCAGATAAGGTTAGATTAGTGTATCAATTTTTCACCTCATCAACATTCTGATCCCTTCCTAATTTGGCCTAAAGAAACCGAACCCTATGGCTGGAAATGCTCTAAGTAAATAACCATTGTGGTTTTGCTTTATAAACTACCTATCAGCTAAGCTAAAATTTATCAACTCCACAGAGCCTAATTTCTTCCAAAAATAAGAGAATGAGCACATACTTTTCCTCTCTGAAATACACTCACATGAACAAGGGAAAAAACAAGGCCCAGGGGACCTTAAAAATCAGACTCCAGACCACAGAGAAGGCCCGCAAGATATTCACTCCAAGCAAACCATTCAAAAAAAAGACTACCCATCCAATCCGACCTAATTTAGCCTCAGTGTACTTATGAGGCTACCAGCAACTTCAATTAAAAGTATTGAAACGTAAGATCTCCTGGAAATAATTGCACACTCATACACAAAACAAACTAACCATGTTTGTTTCCTGTTTGCAACTCAAACTACTGGCACCCAGTAAAAGATCTATCTCTGCTCTCTCCATACACTGTGGTTCCAATTCCGTTATGCTATAGCTTCTAGAGCCATTTTCTGAGCCATAATTTCCTTTTAACGATGTTGATACCTGAAAATGGGAGGGGTGAGGAGTTTAAGGCTAAATCCTAGCTCTTCTGATTTAAAGGAATGACAACCACAGATAAAGCATTTATCCTCTCTGTATCTGTGTCCTAATCCATAAGCTAGGATTAAATATTTAAGGGGTACTAAGATCAGAGATAACAAATCCCAATTTCTCAGTACCTGGCATGCATGCAACAAATAGTAGCTATTATTGGGGCACCTGGCTGGTTCAGTCGATAGGGCATGGGACTCTTGACCTCCAAGTTGTGAGTTTGAGACCCACACTGGGTATAGAGATAACTTAGAAAAATAAAATCTTTAAAAAGAAAATAGTAGCTACTACTCTTTAAGAGACTTTTAAAATACTTGCTGTACTATAAGAGTAACTACTGAATATCATTTTTTTAATACAGCTAAGAAATTCAAAAGACAACAGTTAGCAAACACAAAATTATTCCAGCAGAAGTCACTGACTAGTCTAAAACACCACAGACACTTAAACGGTGACAAAAGTATTATCCATTCAATGAGAAAGATACAAGTATGTTATCATTCTAATCCAGTAAACCAGCAACACTAATAGTGGGTCAACCAGATAGGACTTCAAATGAGACACAGAAGTAGAATTCAAGCATTCAGATTTGATTTCCAGTGTACAAATAATACAGGGCACAAAGACAGAAGAAAAACCAAGTGACACCATGAAAAAGCATGTAAGACAAATCCAGAAGGGGGACATTCTATAGGAAAAATGGCCACATTTCTTCAATCCCTTAGTTTAAGTTTCACCACTGGTAAAATGGGGACAGCAATTGAACTTATACGTTATTGGATAGTAAAATGGGGACAGCAATTGAACTTATACATTATTGGATAGCTATAAAAATTAGTTAACCCACATAAAACTCTTAAATGTTTTATTTAAGGGCTAGAGCAGAACTATCAATAGAACATGATGCCTACCCTCAAGAAAGCCTGAAAGAGCCTCCCAACGACCCTCAGAAAACGAAACCAGGAAGCACCCTTAAGCAATAAACTCAGGTATCTGGTTAAGTGACTCAACTCAATAGCTTAGGAGATTTAGAAAGAACATTCCAAGTATATTAACGTGACAAGCACTGAGGGTAAAGAAAAGCTAGCTCACATATCATGTGACTTCTTCATAGCTGCTCAAATCAGAATCTGTACTATAATCAAATGTTACTCAATTACGGACTTAAAACAGCAATATCCAATAGAAATAAAATGCAAGCAATATATGTAATTTTAAATTTTCTGATAGTCACATTTATAAAGGTAAAGGTAAAACTAAATTTTACTACTTATTTAACCCTATATAACTAATGTCATGTGAACATGTAATCAAAACTTTAAAAAGTTTTAAAGTTATATTTAAGTCATCTCTACACCCAATGTGGGGCTCAAACTCATGAGCCTGAGATCCAGTCACATGCTCCTCCAACTGAGCCAGCCAGCCACCCCAAAACAGGCATTTTAGGTGCCTTTATTTATATTGTTTGAATTCTACTATATATTTTATACATTTCAGTTCAAACTAACTATATTTCACAAGCTAATAACCATATGTGGCTAGTGGCTACACAAGCAGACTACACAAATTTCAGGCAATTAATTAACCTAACGGACATGAGTCTACATAGACTTCTGTTAACACCAAGATTTTGACATAGCTTCCCTACAGGGTATATATTCTAAATTTGGAAGTAGATTTAGTATTCTGATCAGTTGTGGTGGTTCACAAGGGTCAAGGGTGAACTGTAGCCAAAATGAATTATGCTAAGACCACCTATGCTACTACTTACTTTTTTAACTTTGCCATCTATCTACTTTGATAATAGGGACCAAATCTGGTTAGTGATCACAATTATTCCACTCACTGGAGTGGACAAATCTCCCACTGCATTTACAGTCCTGCATTTTATCTAGTATAGGTAATAAATTGAGATCCCAGATTATCTATTTTTCTTTCAAGTTTGGCTTCTGTAAATCAGTTCACAGAAGCCCTATCAGCTCTCAAAAAAGGACAAACCCACATTTTAGGACCTGAGAAGTGAAGAAGGAATACCTGTAAGCTAGAAACCACACACTATGAAATGTGGTGTTATATTGTGTTGGGAGTGGGGGAGAGGGTGAGAAGGCAGGGGTTGCTCAAAATGTACGAACCAGTGTTGGTCTATAACAGCATTTCAAGTTTTATTAGTCAGAGAACTTGAAGATCTGGTGGAAATTATGGACCGTCCACCCAAGAACAGTGCATGTGTCTTTTATACTCAGTTTCAGTTTCACCTACAGATTCTTTCTTAAGAACCTAAATTTAGATACAGTGTCACATGAATACAACACTGATTTTTTTTTTTAATTAAAGATTTTTATTTATTTATTTGTCAGAGAGAGAGGAGCTAGAGCAAGCACAGGCAGAGTGGCAGGCAGAGGCAGAGGGAGAAGCAGGCTGCCCGCCAAGCAAGGAGCCCGATGTGGGACTCGATCCCAGGATGCTGGGATCATGACCTGAGCTGAAGGCAGCTGCTTAACCAACTGAGCCACCCAGGCGTCCCTACAACACTGATTTTTAACTCTGATTTCTAAATTAAAAATAAATCATATATTGATTTTTAAAATAAACAAATAAATCATAAATAATGACCCAGTTCCAGGTCTGGAAGGATTTTGTTACAATGATGTATGGTATACTAAAAATCATAGAAGGGTTCCCATTTCTTACCAACCTGAATGAGTACGCATGTGTCTAGTTAGATGAGTCTTCTGAGAACTTGAGTAAGGACAGAGTTCACATTTATATGGGCGTTCCCCTGCAAGAATAGAAGGGTTAGGGTTTAAATATGATAAAATAAGGTAAATAAAATTCTCACTAACAATATACACGATATTCAGTACTGAGCATTTTTTGATAAGGATTCTTTTTCCTATTCCTGGCAAAATAGTCCTTTTTTAATTATAGATTAGATAAGTAAATGATTTAATTCAGAATTCACATAACTGCATTTCAGCTTTGCTGACAAAAAAGATCACTGGCTTTCTGAATTCTCATAGCCCTTTTATTTTTCATAGTAATGCTACAAACTCCCACATTAAATATTAAGAACTGAATAATTACACTGATGAGGTATCAAGGAGCATCCTTTAAAAAAAATCAGAATTACCCTTAGGGAAAAAAATCTACCTGAATCTTCTCATGCTATCACTAAGAAATTTATTTATTTATTTATTTTTGGGATTTTTGTGAAGGGTAAATCTATCATTTGAAATTGCTGCTTAAAGCCAAGAACATGTGAGTGGAGATGCTTAAGCTAAAAATTTCAAGTAGTAGACAGACATTTCACAAAACAGATCAGTGTTAAGGTAAATCATGTTCATAAACCCATAAGGACTGACAGTAACTGAAGATGAGAGGATAATGATTTCAGTACTAAAGAATTTAAGACTTCAACGGCAGGAAATATATGTTTTTTGGACATGGTTTGTCAAACACAAAACAGGTTTTTAAAAAAGCTTCACACACACACATACGCCTAACAATTTGTAATTTCTTTTCATCTGGTTTTGGCCACAAGATAATAATTACAACCCTGGGCAAGTTTCCTCATTAGAAGTAAAAGCACCTTCACTTACTGGAATTGTGAGAATTTAAATTTAAGATAATACACACAGAACATCTGATACTGTGCCTGGCACATAGTAAAGCCCTCAGTAATAGCAGTTATTATTTTGTCTATACAGAAAGTTACAGTAACAGATGTGTCTAGTAAAATGGACAAGGGAAAGAAAAAACAAGTGAAAAAAGAGGAATACTGTAATGAGTAGGAAACCGTGTTCCTAGTAGCCATACAGCTATTATTAGTTGGTAGCTATAGGTCAGCTATAAATAGTCATATCAATAGAATTCCTACTTCAACCTGGAAGAATTTTAGCTTAAAATATGTTGAAAGTATTTCTATAAACATATATAAATGACAGATAAGCACATGCAAGGATCCTCAATATCTTTACCCGTGAGAGAAATGCAAATCAAAACCACAATGAGATGAAGACTTCGCAGCCATGAGGATGGCTATAATCAAAGGACAGATGTTAAAAGAGTATTGGTTTGGGTATGGAAAAATCAGAGCACTCATACAATGTGAAACTGTAAAATAGTGCAGCCACTTTGGAAAATAGCTTAGCAGTTCCTCAAATGACTAAACATAGTTACCATATGGCTCAGCAATTCCACTCCTAGGTATGAACAGTTGACCCTTGAACAACATGTGTTTGAACTGTTCAGGTCGTTATTCGTGCTTCCCCCCACCCCCAACAAATATAGCACAGTTCTGTAAATTTATTTTCTCTTCTTCTGGAATTTTTTTTTTTAACATACAAATATTCATTCATTCGTTCACTTATTTATTTATCTGAGAGAAAGAGGTATCGAGCAAGGGCAAGGCAGAGGGAGAGAATGCCATGCAGACTCCCCACAGAGTGCCACCCAGAGACCAGAGAACCTCTATCAAAATCAAGTCAGATGCTTAACCCACTGAGCCACCCAGGCTCTCCCTCATGGATTTTCTTACTAAGATTTTCTTTTTTCAAGCTTACTTTACTGTAAGAATACAGTATATAATACATACAACACATAAAATGTGTTAATTAACTATGTTACTGGTAAGGCTTCTGGTCACAGTAGGTTCTTAGTGGTCAAGTTTTGGGGGAGTCAAAAGGTATGTGCAGATTTTCGACTGCCCCTAAATTCTGCACTGTTCAAGGGTCAACTGTACATATCCAAGAGAAATAAAAATGTGTCCACACAAATGTGTGTATGAATGTTCATAGAAGAATAATTATTCACAATAGCCAAAAAATGGAAAACAATCCAAATATTCTGATGAATGGATATACAAAACGTGGTATCCCTACAAGAGATTATCTGGCAGCAAAAGGAAAACAAGTACTGTGCACAGGACATGAATGAACCTTGAAAACATTATGCTAAGTGAAAGAAGGCAGTCACAAAGGACCATATATTATTGTATAATTCTCAGAAATGTCTAGAATGGGCAAATCCACATTGTATGGTATGTAAAATGCATCGCAATTAAGCTGTCACGGAAAGAAAAGTTAATGGAAGAAATATCAAATACCATTACAGATAAACAAAGGGATCAATGAAGGATAATTTAAATTCTTTATAAAAGGAAAGATTGCTTCTATCTGTGCAACTCTACAAAACAGGCATAAATACTCTAGAAAACTTAGTGATTTTTCAGTCACACAGAGACAAAAATGTCATCTTTTAGAATTTGTGAACTGTTGTGTGTTTTTTTTTCTTTTTTTAAGATTGCGTTTAATTTATTTGAGAGAGCGAGAGAGAGAGAGCGCAAATAGTGGAGAGGGATAGAGAGGTAAGGGAGATGGTGGCTCTCTGTGAAGCAGAGAACCCGATGAGGGACTTGATCCCTTATGTGGGATCATGACCAGGGCCAAAGGCTGATCTTCAACCAACTGAGCCATCCAGGCACCCAGAATTTGTGAATTGATTAAAATTATCAAACCCACAAAATTAAAAATCTTTTAATTGAAGACTCAAATGAAAATCCTCAGCCCATCACATATTACTCACAAAAAAGAAAACTGAATTTTGATTCTTAGTCTTAGTTGTATAGTATGACCTTGGATACATCACTTCAGGGTTTCCTCTCAGTAAACACAGGCTATTATAATTTAGTTCCTCAATAGACTGTTCTGCAGATTAGCAGAGAAGTACCAAACACTGGCCACTCAAAGAACAGAAGAAACCCATTAAGTCAATCTAAAAACTAAGGTACTTAAATGAGAAGTGAGTCTATTATTTATCTCTACTTTTCAGCATTAAATGAATTTATTTTCCTTTATAAACACAGTTTTCAAAACCATGCATTTAACACCAGAGATACTCAGAATTTACATAATTGAAATATTATCCTCCCAATGCATACACTACCAAATTGTTTTAAAATGCTTACCAAAAATTAAAAAAAAAAAAAAATTCACAAAGATAACATTAGGAAGAAAAAAAATCTTTTCACTAAAGTTCAACACTAAAATTTGGGGGGGGGGGGAAGGGAAGACACTAAAATGTGAAATGAGATACATACAACCAATGTTACCTTACTGAGAAAATATCAACTTTAATGGGGAGAAAAATTTATTGATGGTACAGTTAAGCATATAAAATACATCCATTAAAAATTAGTCACCTAAACTGTGGTTAAAATAAACCACTATACAAAAAACATTATAAATGGCCAAGAGTTCTTGGTTTTCTTTCCCCCCTGCTATTGTATTTTTTTTTTAAGACTTAATTATTTTAGAGAGAATAAGAGCATGTGCACCTGCAAGCAGGGGTAGGGGTAGAAGGAAAGGGAGAGAGGCAGACTCCCCCTTCGAGCACAAAGGATCCATGCAGGGCTCCATCCCAGGACCCTGAGATATGACCTGAGCCAAAATTTAAGAGTTAAGTCAGAGGTTTAATTAAGCAACTGAGCCACTCAGGCACCCCAAGAGTTCTTGTTTTAAAAAACAAACAAAATATGATTTACATTAAAAAATTGGAATGCCTGGCACAAAAACAGACACATAGATCAATGGAACAGAATAGAGAGCCCAGAAACAGACACTCAACTCCATGGTCAACTAATCTTCGACAAAGCAGGAAAGAATGTCCAATAGAAAAAAGACAGCCTCTTCAATAAATGGTGTTGGGAAAATTGGACAGCCACATGCAGAAAAATGAAATTGGATCATTTCCTTACACCACACATGAAAATAGACTCAAAATGGATGAAGGACCTCAATGTGAGAAAGGAATCCATTAAAATCCTGGAGAACACAGGCAGCAACCTCTTCGACCTCAGCCGCAGCAATATCTTCCTAGGAACATCGCCAAAGGCAAGGGAAGCAAGGGCAAAATTGAACTATTGGGATTTTATCAAGATCAAAAGCTTTTGCACAGCAAAGGAAACAGTTAACAAAACCAAAAGACAACTGACAGAATGGGAGAAGATATTTGCAAACGAACATATCAGATAAAGGGCTAGTGTCCAAAATCTATAAAGAACTTAGCAAACTCAACACCCAAAGAACAAATAATCCAATCAAGAAATGGGCGGGGGGGGGCACCTGGGTGGTTCAGTGGGTTAAAGCCTCTGCCTTCAGCTCAGGTCATGATCCCAAGGTTCTGGAATCGAGCCCCACATCGGGCTCTCTGCTCAGCAGGGAGACTGCTTCCTCCTCTCTCTCTGCCTGCCTCTCTGCCTACTTTGTGATCTCTAACTGTCAAATAAATAAATAAAATCTTAAAAAAAAAAAAAAAAGAAATGGGCAGAGGACATGAACAGACATTTCTGCAAAGAAGACATCCAGATGGCCAACAGACACATGAAAAAGTGCTCCATATCACTCGGCATCAGGGAAATACAAATCAAAACCACAATGAGATATCACCTCACACCAGTCAGAATGGCTAAAATTAACAAGTCAGGAAATGACAGATGCTGGCGAGGATGCAGAGAAAGGGGAACCCTCCTACACTGTTGGTGGGAATGCAAGCTGGTGCAACCACTCTGGAAAACAGCATGGAGGTTCCTCAAAATGTTGAAAATAGAACTACCCTATGACCCAGCAATTGCACTGCTGGGTATTTACCCTAAAGATACAAACGTAGTGATCCGAAGGGGCACGTGCACCCGAATGTTTATAGCAGCAATGTCTACAATAGCCAAAGTATGGAAAGAACCTAGATGTCCATCAACAGACGAATGGATCAAGAAGATGTGGTATATATACACAATGGAATACTATGCAGCCATCAAAAGAAATGAAATCTTGCCATTTGCGACGACGTGGATGGAACTAGAGGGTATCATGCTTAGCGAAATAAGTCAATCGGAGAAAGACAACTATCATACGATCTCCCTGATAGGAGGGAGAGGAGATGCAACATGGGGGGTTAAGGGGGTAGGAGAAGAGTAAATGAAACAAGATGGGATTGGGAGGGAGACAAACCATAAATGACTCTTAATCTCACAAAACAAACTGAGGGTTGCTGGGGGGAGGGGGGTTGGGAGAGGGGGCTGGGGTTATGGACATTGGGGAGGGTATGTGCTATGGTGAGTGCTGTGAAGTGTGTAAACCTGGTGATTCACAGACTGTACCCCTGGGGATAAAAATATATATTTTTTTAAAAAAAGTTATAAAAAAAAAATTGGAATACCAAAAAAACCCCCCACAAAACTGGAAATACACACAAAATACTAAAAGACACCTTTTCCAGTTCTCTCCATTTTCTTTTTGGTTCTAGAAATATTCTCAAATTGACAAATTTAGATTTACAGTTGAAAACATTTTTAGCTTTTATGGGAAACATGAATTATCAAAATACAACTGACAAAATCAAAATGTATTAAGACAAAAGCACTGCGGTGCTGATCATATTCTCTATGTTGACTTGCATGGTGGGTAGGACTACATGTATTTGTTAAAAGTCATCAATTATACTTCAATCAAAACAATTCATCAAAGTGTACAGATAAAAGTCACGCCATGGCTACTACCTGAAAGCTCTACAGATCACCGCCAATCCAAATTAAGCCCCAAGGTTTTAAAAAAACTGTTAAATGAATATAAAGTAATTATGGCTGAAGTATATAGAGTAACTAAGACTTATTTTAAGATATTGTACATGAGGTTTTGTCTGTTTAAATCAAACTATTAAGTGATTAATGGGGTAGGATTTCCAAGTAACTCTGACTTCCTGTGCCATGTAATTTTGTAATGTTTGAATTTCTAGACTTTGGAAACTAAAATGGTTTTAAAGCATGGAGAAAGTCACAGGTTATAACAAATTCCAAAGGATCTCCAAACATTTTTACTTGCTTAGGTTTTAAAGCCATACACATAATACTGGACCATTCTCCTGGAGCTTAGAATCTTGCCATTTCCCGCCCCCCCCCCCTTTTTTTTAAGTTTATTTTCGAGGAAGAACGCATCCGTGTGGGGGAAACAAGCCAACTCCACGGAAACACAGCTTGATCCCACCACGAGAGATTATGACCTGAGCTAAAAATCCAGAGTCAGGCGCTCAACTGACTGAGCCATCCAAGTGCCTTCACATCTTTCTTTTTTTTTTTAAGATTTTATTTATTTATTTGACAGACATAAATCACAAGTAGACAGAGAGGCAGACAGAGAGGCAGACAGAGAGAGAGAGGAGGAAGCAGACCTCCCGCTGAGCAGAGAGCCCGATGCGGGGCTCGATCCCAGGACCCTGAGACCACAACCTGAGCCGAAGGCAGAGGCTTTAACCCACTGAGCCACCCAGGCGCCCCCATCTTCACATCTTTCTTGTGACTGAATTTCATCTGCAAGTTTTACTGTTTAAGTCTACCACAATTCAGTAAAGCACTACTGAATGTGCTCGCTTCCTCTCGGCTGGGCCCGCTCACTGCACTCCCCTCCCCACTGTGCCCTACTTTACCTGTGGGGTTCAGTCTACCCAGTGGTAACTCTTGAAAAACGGTTCTGATGCAAAGAGCATCCTAAAACCCCTTTTTACTTGTGATCCAGACCACTATACTAGATTACCCTATCCGATTTTGTTCAGACCGCTAATCAGTCCTCAAAGGTACCAATTTTTAGCAGAAAAATGTAATGTGAGAAAACTACCAATAAGTTGCAAACATTTCCTTAAAAAATGAGACTCTTTGGGGTGCCTGGCTGGCTCAGTCAGTGGCACATGCATCTCTGCCATGACGGTGTTTCAGGGTGCTGAGGAGAAATGGGGGAGTAACCACGAACAGACAGGGTTTCGTTTTGGTTGATGATGTCCTAAAAACGGACCGTGGTGATAGTTACACACCTCTGTGAATATACTAAAACCAGTGAATTTTAACTTTAAATGGATGAAATCTGCAGTAGTGGACTGTATCTCAATAGAACTGGTATTTACAAAAAAAATTGCCAAATGTGGTAAAATATCATTAACTAATGAATACAGGTAATGGGTAGTACATGTTGGTATTTTCTTTGAGCTGTTTGACATCTTTCTATTTTTAATGTTGTTCCTTTTTTTTTTTTGATAGAGTAACTTACAAACTAGAAAGGTTCTCTTACCTGTATGAGTTAAAACATGCTGAAAGACATTGTTTTTTATCTGAAAAATAGCTTCATTTTTCACGTGTGTTTGCTTTCTCAGGAAAACGATTTCAAGTGTGGTAATCCCACCAATTTTTTAAAAACTAACTTTTCACATTTCTAGGTTTTGCAGACAAGGTTAAGTTGTTCCACTCAGGAAACTCAATACCAAGATAATTTATCTTAAAAGTTTGTGGCTTCTGTGAAATGGATCTATGCAAGGGTTAATCACTGAGTTTTCCTTTTTGTCTAAGTCCTCAATTGCTTTAAGAAACTATGCTGCATCTTAGATGTATTCACTACTAACTAAACACATCTTCTAAAAAAAAAAAAGGTAGTCCAATTTAATTAAATGATCTACTTCAAGTTGTCAGAATAAAAATTTTAACAAGAACATGGATAATATCTGTCTTGGTCATTCTGTGAAGTAAGTGCTCTTCACTTATCCTCAATCCCAAAGTTATTACCCCCATGGAGAGAGAAACTAAAGCACAAAGAGATTAAGCTGACTTATTCAAGGTCACAAAGACAGCAAATAATGGGACCAGAACTTGACCCCAGCATCCCTTCTTCAGTGCTACTTTAACAGCCTACTGAATTAACTATCAAAAGTGAATTGAACTTATGGACTACAAGGTAGTCTTACCTGTATGAGTTCGAACATGCTGAACGTAATTATTTTTTCTATCTGAAAAATAGTTGCATTTTCCACATGTGTATACTTTCCTTGGAAAATGGTTTCTTAAGTGTTTCCTCCAGTGATATTCGCTTACTGTGGTATATGTGCAAATGATGCACTTGTAGACTCGCTCATTATCCCCAGCTCTGGTGTGGTGTTTCAGGTGAGCAGTATAGTGATCATACCGATTGGTGTTATAGCCACAGCGGTCACAGCGAATGGGGCCCTTGGAGAAATCTCCCTCCTCTGCAGTGGAAGACCCAGATTCTCTGGCTTTTGCTTGCTTCTCTGCACTTTCTTCCACAAAAAATTTCTTGGCACTATGAACTCTGATATGATGCACAAACTGCTCTTCAGATTCGGCTTCATACTGGCATGGCTTACAGCGAAAAGGTTTGCTCTTCAAGTTCTTGCATTTGTCCTCCGCTCCAGGTGTTTCAGGGGGAAGATCTTTATTTGAGCTGTAAATTTCTGGGGCAGCGGATACCTCAAACACAGGCTGTGGTTCTACAACACTGAGTTCCAAACTTTCCAGTTCCATATTTTCTAATCCACTGGGTTCACCTTTGATTTCAGGAGACTCTTCAAGTCCTTCTCCATCACTATCTGAAAAATTGTTATCTCCGACAGGCATCAATTCTGCCATCTGTCTTTCTTCACCAACCAGGTAATCACAGCAGCTGCCATTTACTTCCCCAGTTAAGGCCACATTTGCCAACATGATAAGCTGAGGCGCAGCCAATTCAGCTTTGGAGAGGTCATGCAAGTCATACATGTCGTTAGGCAAGGCCATGCCAATGTTGCCACTGCCCGTGAACAGCCCTCCTCCTCCAGAAGACTGGCCCATTACCTGGGTGGCCATGACTGTATTCTGAATTCAAAATAAGACAAAAAGTACAAAACCAGTTTAAACACAACATCCAAAACATTGCTCCAATACTTCATTAACTTAAAAAAAGGTTTTTTTCAAATATAATCTTTCCATACAGTGAGCTTTGTTAATCGCTAAAATTAAGGCTTTGAAGTATTTTTGCACTACCAAATTTTCCTTATCGCAATCACCAAAAAAATCTCTATTATCCCTAGGAAAATGTCTATCAATTGTCTTACTTAACTCATCCATTAACTAGGCCTAGCACTGGCATGTCTTCCCTCAAGCACTTTCAATTTTTCTGGTGAAAAAATAAGTAACTTCATTTTTATGTTAATTATTTTTCAATTCAATACATGAATAGTCAACTGCTGTCCTCTCAATTCCCCCTTTCCACACTTTACTGGTCAGAAAAGGGAGAACCCCAAATACCATACTGTTCATTTGGTAAGTACAAACCTATCTGGACAGTAGAAGCCTGTAGTAACCGGTCAACTGAACTGATTTTCATATAAACTCAACTAACTCCAGAAAAATAAACCACTGTGAAAAAAAGTCCCGTTTAAAAGGAAAAAAAAAGCAGAACATTTTTCCTTGTTAAAAAAAAAAAAAAAAAAAAAAAAAGGAAGCTCCGTGCATTCAAAACTTCACAAATTAAAGAAACTTTCAAACCCTCTAATAACCGTACAACTCAACCCGACAATCAGCAACTTTCTTGCCTTGTGCTTGACTTGGCCTACTTGCTTAGGGGAAGCCATTACAAGATCACCTTCTTGAAAACATGTTGGGCTTTTAAAGTCGCCTTAACCACGTCACTTTCCAATCTAGAAGGTGCTATTCTCCAACTGAGTGCTGTCTTGCAAATTAGAAAAAGCAAAATAAGTGGCAAGCACTCAAAAAATAGAATCAAACTCCAAACCCCAAAAGCAGTCCGTTTCACCCAGGTGCATTTAAACACAAACCGACTGAGTTATAATGTACCAAAACTTGGAATCAAATGCCATCACAGAAAACAAACTGAGGGCCATAGCAGTCCCAGGGCTCAACAACCCAGGCTACTCGGCAATTTACCCAAACAACGACTTTCCTAATACCCCCCCAACCCTAACTACCGTCCCTAAAGGAATTTTCACGTTAGTCAGGAAGGCCGTCTAAGCACAGCCCGAAAACCCAACGTGTTGCACGAATTCCTATGTGCGGCTGCCACCAGCGCCTGCCTCGGCGGCGGCATTCCTGACTGAAATAGGCATTCGGCCATTTTCTCAAAATACCAAACACAAAGCAGCTCTTTGCAAACTCGGGCGCTCTCGCTTCCTCTCGGCTGGGCCCGCTCACTGCACACATTTACACACCAACTCGCGGGAGTTGCCCCAACACTCGTCCCGAAGCTTCTCCTGAGTTCCCCAACACTAAGAAAAGCAAGGTGGGCAAACTCGGGGCGCCGTTGGGCCAGACCAAATCTTCCCCATTCAGGGCTTGCCCCCTCCACGGCCCGCGGGCCCGAGTCCGGGAAGAGGAAGGAAAGTTACCGCGTTGCCGGCGTCCTAGCTCCTCTCACCGCCCCTGGGCTCACCCTCCGCAGAGGGCCCGGGAGGCTCCGCGGGCGCCCTCCCGAGGCGTCGGGCCCCTAGCGCCGGAGGGGGCCCCCACGCGCGCTGGCCGCCTCCCCCGCGCCCCGGAAGTTTGCGAACTCACTCCCCCACCGCGCCCCGCGGGACGCGCGCCCCGGCCCCGCCAGCTCGGGCGCCGAGGTGGTCGGGTGCAGAGGGCCGAGGCGGCGGGGCGGCCCGAGAGCAGAAATCGCTGTCCAGCCCCATTGGCGGAACCGCCCGGGCCGCGGGGCTGACTCAACCCGCCCGGCCGCACTCAACGGCGCCTTCCGGCGAAAGGGAGAGGCCGGAGAGGGAGGGGGACGCGAGGGCCGCGGGCCGACGAGGGGCTGCGGCGGGACCTGGGAGCAGGAGAACGGGAAAGAAGTTTCAGGACCAGCGCCACAAGCAGCTCCGCACCTCAGGACAGACTCGAAGGACGCCCGGGCCCGTGCGGAGGCGACGGCCCGGCCTCGACTGGGGAGGGGGTCCTGGCTCCACACCGCTCCCCAAAGACGCCCCCGGCCCAGCCCCCGGGCCGCGCCGGTGTAACCCGATCCCGCTCGGCCGCCCGCCCCCGCCCGGCGCTGCGGCCGCCGCCGGAGCCACAGTATCTGCAAATCAGCCCTGGACAGCGCCTCGCTCCGCGTCCTTCCGCGCCCTCCCCCTGCCACTGCCGCCGCCGCCTCCGCCGCCGCCGCCGCCGCCGCCGCCGCCGCCCGGCCGGCCCTCCCCCACCCCGACCGAACCCCCAGCCCTGAGCCGCGCTTACCGGCCTTCCTAGACGAGGAGGGGCGGGAGACCCGGCGCCGCCGCTCCTTCTCCGACTACTTTTCTTTGTTGCTGGAGTTTCGGGGGGAGGGGTGGGGGAGGATGGAAAAGTTGGGCGCTGGGGACGTCGAGGCCCGCAAAGGCCCAGGAGTGGGACTGCAGAGAATGCTCAGGCCGCCGGCTCTCGCTCTGCCGTCCCGGCCACCGCCGTCGCCGCCGCCGCCGGGGTCCGTGGCCCGGGGCCTCGGCGGCGCTTGCTCTGCTGCTGCGCCGCGAGCTCGCGGGAGCCGCACATTCCAGCACAGGAGGCTGCGCCGCGCACCCAGCCCGCGCCGCCGCAGCCGCCGCCGCCCGCGGGACACGCCCCCTCCACCGCCCGCGCGCGCCCGCGGGACACGCCCACCCCGCCGCCCGCGCGCGTGGCCGCCCGGCGCGCCCCGCCCCTTGGCGAAGGGGGTTGCTCTGGGCCCTGGCTGGGCTGTGGGCGCGCCTACCCGGAGCCGCACCTAATCCTCCCGGCCCCTCACTCGTGCTCTTACGTCAAAAAAGAGGCGAGCCCCGGTCCCTTTCTCGATTTCTTTCATAAACGACAGAAAAGTTGCCCCTAGCCCTGGAGTGCAAGGATGAGAATAGAGCTGTTAAAAGAAAAATCTGCAGGCTTTGACCGTTCTCTTTAGAACCACCGTCTAAAGCGTTTCGAGTGTAAAGCGCTCGAAAATACCCTTTAGAATCTCTTGAAATCTCCACCCATAGCCACCCTTAACTAATTAAACGTTAAGCTCACGCGGTAAAAACGCATCCCAAATTTTAAACAATAAGCGAAGAAAATGCAGCCAGTTTCTGAGTTGTGAGAAGAAAATGTCACGGTCAGATCACGGACTCAGAACTGAGGGGACAAGTCCATAGACCTGGCCGGTAGCAGGTCATTCCTGAGCCTTCAAAACACGATTTCAGTGGAGCAATTATCCTCCGATTACAGGACAGTAAAGCAGAGGGTGAGGACATGGAGGCTGCCTGGTCACCACGTGTGGGAGAGGAACCTGGCTTCCCTGTTTATAGAGTGGCGCAACCATGCAGAATGGTTAAAAGCATAGTAATACGCTTTTAAAAGAGAAAGAGCTAGTCTCACGTACCCCTTACCTTCTGTCTACAACAAATGCCTTCTTAGTCTGCCTTTGAACCCTAAATCATCATGCCCATCCTCAAAAATTTATTAGCTTCCTTAAACCCCTTAGTTTGGCATTCAAGGCCCTGACCAACCTGATCTAGATAAATTGGACTATCACTAGGATTAAAATAGAGGTAGCAGCAAGTGTTGTGGGGGTTCAGAGTAGGGAGATGATCTCTAGCTACCAGAATCTAGATACTTCTCACACTACAGCATGACCCAATCATCCCTTACAGAATTAGGTGGAAAGTAGCAGAAGGAACATTTTACACAGTGAAAACAGCACGCTCAAACAACCATCAGCTGAGACTTGCCTAACACCTCCTCCAGCTCCCCCAGTTCCTTCTCTTTAAAGTTCCTTCACTCATTTCTCTTACAACACAGCTTCCACACTCTTCAGTTTCCTAGTCTACACCCCAGTAGTCTGTAGACTATATATTAGAACAGTATCTTATTAATTAATGCAGCTTGTCCCCCTATATTAGAACAGTATATTATGAATTAATGCAGCTTCAGATGCAAGATGGAATAAAGGCCCTAAGGGCTTAATCACCAAGGGTCCAGTTACTTAATATTGAATGCAAGCACTTCCCTGTGAATCAAACTTGAGAGGTATTCATTTTCATTGAACCAAAGAGAAAGAAATGAAGAAATGGAAGGAGGGAGGGAGAAAGAGACAGAGAGGAGAGGAAGAGAACGAGGAAAAGTAAGAAGGGAAGGAAGAAGGAAGAAAGGAAGGAAGGGAAGGAGGGAAGGAAAGAAAGAGGGAAAGGAATGAGAGAAAAGAAGAGAAGGAAGAAAGAGAAAGAGGAAAGAAAGGACAAGAAAGAAAGAACTGTTTTAGCCTGCTACAAATTTGTCTACATTTATTCTTTTTTAATTTCTTTTTCTTTTTTTCTTTTTAACTAAAATCTAATGTGAGTTGCATGGCTTTTTTAGATGCTGTAGCTCAGGGAACAATTCTGGCCTCTGTCAAAGCCCTCAAAGGCATAAATTATTTTCTTTCTCTTTTTTTTATATCCCAAAAGGCAAAAATGAAATATCTCTTCTTAAACTTACTAGATACATGTCCTTCATTTCCTCAGTCTGACTGCTTGCTGGAAATGTTTTATTAATTGCGAATTTATTCCCACATATTGTGATGCAAAAAGAAGAATGGCAAATTGGCAGCTGCATTCATTTAAAATTAGCAGAGGCCCTTGTTCAAGAGATGGCATATTCAGAGTGACCTAAATTATCATGACATGAAGGGCACAGGTCAAATTCAAGGCCAAGTTACAAATCAATAGAAAATTTCCTTGGGGGGAAGCTAGTGCTATGAACTTGAATTCTTAATTGTTTTTCAAGAGACAGTATAATTTGCTGCATCCAAAATTTAAGATCTTCTGCAAGATAAAGACTTTGACATGTGAATGAGTTCTAGTTTTCTTATTTTGAGAATATGGATTCTTTCCTATATATTTAATTCATCAATTTTTCAATTTTAATTATCATATGTTCTTAATAACATTTTCTCTGGAGATTTACTTCAAAAGTTCGATATAATGTTTTTGTGCTTTCATATGCTTTTTATTCCTATCCATGTTTCATTTTTTTTCCCCTCTAGAACAGACCTTAGTTTGGCTGAACCCACATGAATGTTATACTGAAGTTCAATCATCTGCTTTACATGTTACATAAACTCAAGGTTTGTGACTGAAATTGGGGTACAACTTCTCCAATATGATGTTAAAAGATTTTGCTTCCACTCTTGCTGTCACCAGCCAAAGGGAAGACATTGGTATGTCAAGGACTAACATTTTGGGTGTTTCTCCCACTGTCTGCATTTTCAGTAGTACTTGTCACTATTCACACTTCTGGGAATCTCTTCCCCATGTAATTGATCCTACAGGGACTGAACCCTGGCTCTGAAGTTTGTGCTCTGCGAGTTAGCCCAATTTCTATTTTGCATTTGGTTCAAGTGAACTTAAAAACACTGCTCTAGGGACGCCTGGGTGGCTCAGTTGGTTGGGCGGCTGCCTTCGGCTCAGGTCATGATCCCGGCGTCCTGGGATCGAGTCCCACATCGGGCTCCTTGCTCCGCGGGGAGCCTGCTTCTCCCTCTGCCTCTGCTGCCTCTCTGTCTGCCTGTGCTCGCTCACCCTCTCTCCCTCTGTCTCTGACAAATAAATAAATAAAAAATCTTTAAAAAAAAAAAAACACTGCTCTAGTTTCTCTATAATTTTTTTTTAAAAAAGGTTTTATTTATTTATTTGTTTGTCAGAGAGAGAGAGAGCAAGCACACAAGCAAGCAGAGTGGCAGGCAGAGGCAGAGAGAGAAGCAGGCTCCCTGCTGAGCAAGGAGCCCCATGCGGGGCTCAATCCAAGGACCCTGGAATCATGACCTGAGCCAAAGGCAGTGGCTCAACTGACTGAGCCTCCGAGACGTCCCCATTCTGAAACTTTTAGTGAGAGTTAAAAAAAGGGGGGGGCGGTTGTGACAGAAAAAACACTGGATACTCTGGTTTCTCTTCAGATCATATAAAATGTTTTGCCTTTTACTAAAGATTTCTGTGGAAAGGAATGACTTTGAGTCTTAAGCCAATTTTTTGGGTCCTTGTTTCATCAAGTTTACGGAAAAAAAAAAGAGAGAGATTGAGGAAGGCAGGAAGGCAAAAGAGAAAAAGAAAAGAAAGAAGTGAATGAGAACAGGGGCACCTGGGTGGCTCAGTGGGTTAAGCTTCTGCATTCGGCTCAGGTCATGATCCCAGGGTCTGGGGATCGAGCCCCGAATCGGGCTCTCTGCTCAGCGGGGAGCCTGCTTCCTCCTCTCTCTCTGCCTGTCTCTGTCTCTCTGCCTACTTGTGATCTCTGTCTGTCAAATAAATAAGTAATCTTTAAAAAATTTAAAAAAAAATTCTCAGAAGCCTAGGGTGCTTTTTATTCTGTTTGAAATTTCAAATCATGTGCAGTTTTTCCTAGTACAATTATATACATTTTAAGTTCAATGTACAGGTGTCCCTGGTTTCTTCTCTATGGTTCTCTTTTGCCCTCTGTGAAACCCACCAGTAGCCTTGAGCCATCCTGGCTTAAAGACTGGTGTTGTCTGAAGCCAGGGACCTGAGGCCTGGTCTAGCTCTATCCAATGCAGGATCATCTATCTATCCTAGCTTCCAGCAGGACCCTGACCTTGTGTTCTGGTTCTGACAGCTGGGACGCAATGTCTTCTCCACTACAGTATCTGCAGCTTGAGGCACAGAGATGCCCCCTAAATGCTGAGAGAAGGAAGGGAGGTGAACAAGGGAACTCCAGAATGAGCTGGGCTTACTCCTGCCCGCTCCCAGAGCCCAGAACATACTTTGAACTACTCTCCCCTTGTTCCTCTTCCCTTCAGCACCACTGGCCTCCTTGAAGCCCAGTTGTGGTTCCTTGTTCTGCTTCCAGTCTGTGGTTCCTTCTTCTCTTTGGAAACACTGTCCGGTACCCTCTATCCACGCTGCTCATTCCTGCCCCTCCTGATTCAGATGTCATCTTCTCATTTACCAAGTTTTTAGAATTACAGTTTCCTCCCCTTTGCATCCAATCCTGCTGTCCTTCCTGCTGTTTTTCTTATTAGCATTTATCACTAACTAGCATGCTATGCATTTTATTTGCCTTACTTATTTTCTTTCCTTACTAGAACTTAAGCTGCAGAAGAGAAATTGTTCTTTATCTCCAGTGCCTATAACACGGTCCTTGTTCAACAAGAGTTTGTGAAATGAATGGTTGGGGGATCTCAGCTTGGTTTTGGCAGTCTTTCAAAGTGAGGACACCCCTTACGTATATCAGTACCCCCAATTCAGTACCCATCACAGACTTCCCTCATGCTAAATGATAGCCTGCCTCTCTGAATCTCCCCTAAAATATTCCCTTCTCAATAATTAATTATTTGTTGAAGGAATAAAGATATGCTCCGGGACTCCTGGTCCCTGTGGTCTGCCTTTTTGTTGCAAATCTCCCTCTCACCTCCTCTGCGTGTTGTGTTTTAGCCCACTGCTGGTTTCACACACCAGTCTCTAGTTGGATTTTCTTTGGTGCCCCTATCTCTTGCCCTTCCCTGCATTCTATCTCTTTACTCTGGCCTTTGTCATTGTTCTTCCTCCCAGAATTCTCCAAAAATCTCACAACTGGAAGAGATCTTAGGGGTCCAAGCTCTTATTTTATAGACGAAAGAAGACAGGCCTGAAAGTATTTGGCTGGTGCAGGTCTGCACTCAAGTTAGGGAACAGCTGAAATGAGGGTCCAGAGGCTCAGATTCCCAGCCAGTCTGGTGCTCTTTCCACATCTCTCAAAATCTCCAGTCTTCCCAAAATATAACCAGAAAATATATATCCAGAATATATAAGATTCTTCATATTAAAATAGGCTTAAAAGGGAAGGCTAGGGAAGCCCTTATGGTATTCTCTTGCATTTAAAAAACTCCAGCCCCCGGGCAGCTGAGTGGTGCAGTTGGTTAAGCCGTTTGACTCTTGGTTTCAGCTCAGGTTCTGATCTCAGGGTCTTGAGATCAAGCCCCACGGCAGGCTTCAAGCTCAGTGTGGAGTTCACTTAACACACTCTCTCCTTCTCCATCTATACCTCCCACCACCCCCCTCTCTCAAAATAAGTAAGTAAATCTTCAAAGTATTCATGACCCAATATTGACATTTGAACCTACAAAAAACTCAATATCAATTTAGGGGAAAAGGGACTTACCTTAAAAGACAGCTTCTGGCTGCCTTTTCCTTCCTCCCACAGAGAAGCAAAAAGCTCCCAATCTGTGCTCCCAAAGTGCCATGAAGAAAGTATACTCGTACCTCTTTTCTCTCCTGTGTCTTTCTCACCTGTGAGAACCTGGAGATAAGGAACTCAGTATGATAACATTCCCTCCCCAAGTCCACAAAATCAAACATCTGACAGAGTATATCAACCCAGCCAAAGCTAAAACCAGGCACTGGTTTTATCAATAAATGTTTCTTAGATGAGTAAAATTGTCCCTTTTCCTTATTTGTCTTCAGATAATCACCAAACATACGAGAATGGCTAAAAGTAAAAGAGCTGGCAATGTTAAGTATTGAGAAGAAGGATAAGCAAATGGAATTCTCATATATTACTGATGGAAATGCACATTGCAATCGGTCTCTGTAGTTTCCTATAAAGACATTTAGCATATAATCCAGGTATCCTATTGTTAAAAAGAAAACCACAAGACCAAAATCGCATCACTTAAGCCAAGTTTCATCCTCCCCTGTAAACGGAGTCTTAACTGGTCAGTCAGGAATTTTCTGATCAACATCAATGAGGTAATCTGTCACATGGGCCCTCTTCATCCACCCCCCCCTTCCAAAAAAAGATGAAGTAATCTGCATGATAAGTTTCCCCGCTCTTCCCCCTAAGGGAAGGCGATCTTATCTCAAACAACCTTTTCTTTCCTTTTGCTAATAACTTCCTTGTCCCACCCTTCTTCCTATAAAAACATTCCATTTTTGTACACCTCCTCAGAGCGTCTCCTCTACTTGCTGGAGGGGGATGGTGCCCAATTCAAGAATTGATTAATAAAGCCAGTTAGATTTTCAAATTCACTTGATTGGATTTTGTTTAACAGTACTAATAGGAGAGAACTGAAAACACATGCCATCCTTGCAAAGACCCTGTAGGAAAGTGTCCAAAAACTGGGAACAACCCAAAAGTCCAACTGGTAAATGAATAAGCAAATTTTGATCCACCCATACAATGGAATAATAGCGTCAGGGAACTAAAACTTAGCCTTTACTCTCTTAGTTTAAATGATTGGGGCCCCGCAAATTAGACTAACAAAGACAGATTAGCAAAAGATCAAATTTAATCATTGTTTTTGTTAAGGTATATAGAAGGGTACACAGTAAAATGTGACACAAAGGGGCTGTTAGAATTTGTGGCTTGGACACCACCCTGAAAAAGGCAGGGGAGGAGGAGAAGGACACTTAGAGGAAAACTAATGACTTCTTAAGGGAAGGTTGGGGAAGAGTACTTATGGGAAGACAAATGGCCTCAGGAGAAGAGACGGGAGGTGTTAGAGTTTTGTGACAATGCCTGTGATACGGTGTGGAGACCTCTCACCTTCTGGGATAAGTGACAAGAGTATGTTACTGGTTGATCCTAGGGAGGGGATTTTTGACAACTGAGGTTATTTTTTAGCTCTTTTGAGAGACTCTGCTTTTAGGAAGGTGAGAGATTTCAGGAACTCAAATGCCTTCTAAAAATATTTTTAAAGATTTTATTTTATTTTTATTTTTTAAAGCTTTATTTGAGAGAGAAAGAGTGAGTGAATGGGGGAAGGGGCAGAAGGAGAGGGATAGAGAGAGAACTCTCAAGCAGATTCCCTGTTGAGTATGGAGCCTACACAGGGCTGGATCCCGTGACCCATGAGATCACAACCTGAGCTGAAACCAAGAGTCAGATGCTTAACTGACTGAGCCATCCAGACACCCCTTAAAATTTTATTTTTAAGTAATCCCTACACCTAATGTGGGGCTCAAATTCACAGCTTTGAGACCAAGAGTGATGTGCTCCACTGGCTGAGCCAGCCAAGCACCCCTTCTTCTAAAAATATTTATGCCACATTAAGTGGCATATTCTGGACTCTTCCAGTAGCTATCGGAAGAATAGGAACTAGCTATAAGGCAACTGTATAGATGAATCTGGAGAGCATTACGCCAAGTGAAAAAAGCCAGATGCAAAAGTTCACTTACCTTATGATTCCCTTTGTGTAACATTCTAGGGAAGGCAAGAGACACAATGGGATCAGTGCTTGCCAGGGGCTGGTGATTAGGAAAGGGGATTGACTTCAAAAGGGCAAAAGGGAATTTTGAGGGTGATGTCAATGGTTATATCTTGGCTATGGTGAAAGGCTACACAATTCAAAAAGTATAAACTCAAAATCCATAGACATGAGCAACTTAAATGAGCAAATTTTACTGAATGCATAGTATGCCTTAATTAAGCCTCACCTTTCAGAAATACAGCTGTAGAGAATAGAAGTGAGTTTTTCTTCGTCTAGGTGTTTGTTTATTTGAGTTATTTTGGGAAGTGTTTGAAATCCTTTCACAAAATGATACATCTGGCAATGGTGATTTTTCTCCTAACAGAATCTCTGCCAGTTTATACTAAAAAGTCAATTTCTAACCCTAAAGCTATTTTATTCTATAGATATTTACTAAGCACCTCCTCTGTTTAGGGCACAAGGGTGGGGTTGGGGGGTAGGAGGCAGTAAAGAAGTATAAAGTAGGTTTTGATTTTCACCAGCTTACAACTGAGCTGGGGAAATAAAACCCTGCTTTAGTTAAAGAACAGACCATAAGAGCTTTTTGAGTTTGGAAGAGAAATTGCTTCCAGTTACAGCAAAGCTTCCACAAGGCGGCCCAGGATGTCTTGCAGGACGAGAAGCAGCCCATGGATTTAGTTCATAAGGAAAGAGTTCAAAGCCTAGAGACCAGTTACCTTAAGGTCATGGCTAATGCGTCATTCCATGAGGAGGAGAGACTGGTTCTCTGATGAACAGAGATGCAGGAAGGAAAGTCAGGTAAACCAGAAGAGCAAACCACCTCGGGCTGGAGCAAAAGAGGACTAAAGGTGA